ATGAAGAGGTGGCATTGTTAGGGAGGGCTAAAAGATGTAGGAAAGGATGGCAGGATTTTAACAAAAGGAGCTAAAAAAGGAAAGAATTTGAAGTCAAGGATAAACATAAGGGCTGGGGTTATGGCTCAGTGGCAGAGTACTTGCCCTGCACATGTAAGGCACCCGGTTCCATCCTCAGCACCACATAAAAATACATAAACGAAATAAAGATTTTGTGTCCATCTATAACTAAAAAATAAAAAGATTAAAAAAAGAATACACATAATCAGAAGCACTGAAACACTATCCAGTACAACACTGAATACATTGCAGCAATCCAATTAAACAGCTGATTAGACTGCGCAGATTAATATACACACCGGTCAATTGATCGTGAACTTCATTTTTCACTCGAACAACTGAAAACCCTTTCCATGCACCACTACGCTATGATATTTTGACTGAAGAGAATGGATAAACAAGGCTAAGAGACATTAACAGTTCAAGGTGGTAAAGGGCGGGGAAAATAAATACAACTCTAGACTTCAATTCAGTTAAGAAAGAAAAAAAAGGATAAGGAAACACTCCTCACCTGAATCTTGAGCTCTCCCACGTCCATGGGGTCACAGCCGAGATTAAAAGCCAGAGTGGCAGGCACGAGGGCCGTTCGGTCAGCGAGCGGCTCTGCCAGCTGCCCGGAGCTGGGTCCCAGTCTCTCAGACAGGTCCCAGGGAGGCTGCAGGACCTGCACCGTGGCTAAGTGCGGCCGAGAAGTGTTCGATAACTCTCCGGCCCGGGTTACCCACACCCACTCGCCCTGGAAGAGGCTGAGACCACGGAGACAGCTCCGGCTCACCCCCAGTGCATCTCCAGTCCCTCCCAGAACTCCTCGGAGTTGCCGGACTGTGCCGGAAACAGCGAAGGAGGACACCACCGGCGGGGGCGGGGGCCGGCTATTATCCCCAGTCCCTGGGCACAGTCTGTTCCGCCCGCGGAGCTCAGTTACAGCCAGCCGCGTCCCCGGGCCCAGCAGTCCTTGCAACGCCGGCCGCGTCTCCAACACCCGGGGCCCCGGCACCGGCAGGGTCTCTCCACGCCTCACTAGCAGAGGACCGACTCGTGGTCCGAGCCCAGGCCCCGGTGAGGTGCCAAGCAGCGCCCAGCCCAGGGCCGGGGGCCGTCGCACAGGCCGCGCCCGCACCTGTGCCCCGGGGCCCAGTGCTAGGAGCCGCAACAGTGCGCGGCTAACCAGCAGCTGCGGGGGCCCAGGACCTTGCTCCTCAGTCTCAGCACCTGGCCGTTCCAGGGCAGCCACTAACAGAGCCGGCCCTGCTGGACTCTCTCCTGCAGGCCGAAGGGCCAGAACCAGGCCCAGCCCCGCCGCAGGCCATGGGCCCCCGGGCGGCAGCAGTACTACCAAAGGGGATGTCTCGGTCGGGAAGGGTTCCAGGACGCGCAAGACAGCCAGCACCATGGTGATTAGAGATCGACCAGGAGAACCAAGTAGTACGGCTTCCGGAGCTTGCGAACCGGAAGACTAGGCGACGTAAGTGCTGCTTCCGCTTCGGTTAAAGGCCGTGTGAGGAAAATGGGAGGGGCGTCAGGTGCCCGGAGCAAGCTCTGAGAGGTTGCTCTGCTCCAGAAGATCCAGRCCATCCCTCGATGGCAGTAACCAGAATCACCCTGTGCGCATGCGCCCTGTGAACCAGTGTTTACCAGGATTTGCCTTTGCCTTGGAGGGGAGTACCCTCCTCTCAACTATTATGTCCCTTAGCATATTCTAAATAGTTTACTGACTGATCAGTGAGCGGCCTGGGACTGACTAGTGCTGGGAGTTGTAGATGGAATGTTTCAAAAGAGACCACTCCTCTGTAGGAATTCTTACACTTTGCTCTATGCAGCTGTAGGCATTGAAGTTTGAGGGTTGTAGAGAATATTGTTGGAGGGAGTGGTAAGATTATAAAACTGTCTCAGACATGCTTATAGGTACGTAGTGACTGCTGGCTGAATTACTATATGTGATTCATGTAGCCCTGGAGTGCTTGGTGCCTCCACACCTGTTCCAACACATCCTACACAAAACCCACATTCCAGCACTTCTTGTCCTGTTCATTGTCCTGTCTTTCTATTCCCACCAAACTTGAAGACAAAGCAGCTTCCCTCTTCCTTCAAACCTAGTTGCTCCCCCGCACTAATTCTTGGAGACCCTTTGCTATTTCTATCCTGGAGAAGGGCAGGCAGCAGAACTGGGTGAAGGGAGGGGTTTGAGGCTCCTGTCACCACTACTGAGTCAAGAGCCTACTTTCTACTTGTGCTGTTAGAGTCCATCCTTATCCTCATTCGTACAGTGGTAGGCCACATTTCCAATATATTATCATTTATAATCAATGGATTAGATGGTGGCGGTCTCTTTTCTCTGAACATTGTGATCTCTTTTAGCTAGTGCCCAGCTTTCTCCTTGAGACTACATCTTGAGGTAGTCTATTTTGAGTAGCATGTATTTCTGAAAACCTAAAAGTCAAATACTTGAAATTGCCCATTCCTACTTTTTTGTTGTTGTTTTTCAGGATTGAACTAGGGCACTTTGCCACTGAGCTACATCCCCAGCCCTTTTTATTTTTTTATTTTGAGACAGGGTCCTGCTAAATTACCCAAGCTGGCCTTGAACTTGTGATCCTCCTGCTTTAGCCTCCAGAGTCACTGGGATTACAGGCATGTGCCACCATGCCCCACAATTCCTACATTTCTTTTAAATATTTTTTTTTAGTTGTAGTTGGACATGATATCTTTATTTTATTTTTATGTGGTGCTGAGGATCGAACCCAGGGCCTCCCACATGCTAGGTGAGTGTTGCACTGCTGAGCCACAATCCCAGCCCCCACAATTCCTACATTTTATTTATCTATTTATTTATTTATTAATATTTATTTTTTAGTTTTTTAGGTGGACACAATATCTTTATTTTATTTTTATGTGGTGTTGAGAATCGAACTCAGGGCCTCACGCATGCTAGGCAAGCGTGCTAACACTTGAGCCACATCCCCAGCCCCAATTCCTATATTTTAAAAACAGCATACAAGAAGTTGCTAGGGGGCTGGGGATGTGGCTCAAGCGGTAGCGCGCTCGCCTGGCATGCGTGCGGCCCGGGTTCGATCCTCAGCACCACATACCAACAAAGATGTTGTGTCCGCCAAGAACTAAAATAAATAAATATTAAAAAAAAAAAAGAAGGTGCTAGGAATCTGGATTCCCATAGATAAAAGTTCCCATTTGGTAGTCCTAGTCCTACTATCTGTGGCTCTGTCCCCTGCCTCCCAGAGGGATCAAAGACTGGGTAATGGATTGTGCCTGTAGAAGATATGTCTGTTTTGTAGAGTAGAACGTAAGCTCTAGTCCTCAGGACTATGGTGTTCCTTGAGGCCTTGGGCATGGACAAATACATCTGGTATCTTGTCTATATCAGCACTTATACAGACAACAAATGCCCATCCATTAATAAACATATTCTCACCCAGGCTTTTCCCCAACAAATGACTGAAATGAAATGGAAACTTTGTGTTGCCTTGAAATCATTACTTATTAAAGTCAAATACTATTTCTGTAAGCTAGCTAGGATCCTACATTTGTTGTCTTCACTTCTTTAATTTTTGTTCACACTTCAACCTATTATAAACTTCTTTCTATGACTCTAAAACTTCCTTGGCAAAGATCACCAGTAACCTCCTAACTGCAGGATCAAGTTGTTGCTGTTCAATTTTTATCTTACTCAGTCTTCCTCTGACCAATCCTCTTTTACTTCCCTTTCCATTATGACACCAGTTTTCTTCCTATGTCTTTGACCACTTCTGGAAGCCATCCTTAGCTCCTCCCTTTCTGATACTGTCTCCCCACAATCCAATGAATCACCAAATCCTGTTGAATCTACAAATCCCAACTTCTCTTCTCCATCCCTATGACCACTGCCTTTAAATGTTACTATCCCTGGGCAAGTTTTATTTATTTATTTTGCAGTGCTGGGGGAAAGTAGCACCTCCTCCATGGTGGGCAAGCACCTATGACTGAACCTCCAGGCCCAGAGATTTACTCTCCATAGGTTATTCTTGATGGGCCTTCTCCAGGGTGATTCATTTTTTCGTTCTTTCTTTTTCTTTTTTTTTTTTTTT